GTAGCTCGAAACCTCACCTGAATACCCCAGAATGTTTATCCTAGACTCTGTCACCCTAGACTTTATCATTAGCTCTCAGGTAATGAACCTCATTCTTAGGGAAGATGTCACATACAATTTATAGCCTGCTGACATCTACGTTATCTTGGTCAGAGACCATATCATATTACAGGCCCGTTAGTTATAGAGCCCAACTTTTTGGTCACTTCTCAGTTGAGTTTTGATGCAGTAAGACCTAGTTGTTCACTGGAGTTTCGATTATACCAGGAATCTTTTTGTCCAAATTTGTACTGTGTTTAAATTTGCTTACAATCAACCACCTGGTGTCATACTTTTTAGAAGTGTGAAGCAGCAACAACTATGTCAGTGTGATCTAACTTTTCCTTGTTATTGCATGTGGGTCACATTCTGTCAGAAGCAGAGCTTTCAGGGACCAACACACAGAAAATGTGAGGACTGTGACTCTTAGTCTCCACTCACCTGTCCCCACCAGCTCCAGGGTGTCACTGTGCTGTGTCCACCCAGCAGAGTTATAACAGTAACAACGATATCGTCCTGCATTATATACTGTCATAGATGGGATGAAAAACCTGGCCTTGTGATCAGGCACTGGTGAAGTTAATCTGCCCCAGGGTGCTTGGATTCCTTCTTTATACAGGAAATACATTTGAGTTTCCATGGTTCCCTCACACCAGATTGTCACAGAATTCCCTGAGGTGATCACAGAGCCTGGCTCAGCCCAGATGCTTGGTTTCTGGAGGGTCCCTACAAAGAAGTAGGTGAGAGGGATGTGGGACTTTAAACAATTGCACAGTGGATATGATACTTGGACTTGACCCTTGAATAACAGGAAGCATGGAGCCCTCTGAAGACCCTTCTATCTCTCTTTCATCTCACCTTCCCAATTTCCCTTTTCAGAACACCCCTCAGTCCTTTCTGTACTTTGACCCCCACAATCTGTATGCTGGCCCATATGTGGGTTGAGGAACCTGTCCTTCCCTGTACTTATCACACATTAGAATCTCCTGGGGAAACATGTCAGGTTCAGTGTCTTTCAATAGAAGGGATGTGGCTTCCTCACCTGAGACTAGAAGCTCCAGGATGTCACTCCCTTCTGACCACACTTGAGGCTTGCTTGTGTGATAGCCATAGCATCTGAAACTCCATCTTTCACTGAGTGTGATAGGACCCACTTGGAATCTGGCTGAAGACTGCTCAGTATATACATATTGTGAGTCCATGGAGCTGGAGAACTGCTCATCCTTAATTAAAATGAAACCATTAAATCTCTGATTCGAGGTACATGAAAAGGTCACAGATCCTCCTAAGGGTACAACAGGGTATGGCAGTGCAGACAGGGTGGGTTTGGTGTAGACACCTAGGAGAGATATATATGGACTATTAAATGAGTTCACACAGTCTAGATTGTACCTCAGAACTGAGTAATGAGTTGGGATACATTCAGAGCAGACTTTTCTAAAGAGTCACATCTGAGAATTCATATGATCCTGAGTCTCCACTCACCTGTCACCACCAGCTCCAGGGCGTCACTGTGCTGTGTCCACCCAGCAGAGTTAAAACAGTAACAACGATATCGTCCTGCATTATACTCTGTCAAGAATGGGATGGAAAACTTGGCCTTGTGATCAGGTAATGGTGCACTCAATCTGCGCCAGGGTGCTGGGCTTCCTTCTTTATACAGGAAATACATTTGTGTTTCCTTAGTTCCCTCACACCAGATTGTCACAGGATTCCCTGAGGTGATCACAGAGCCCGGCTCAGCCCAGATGGTGGGTTTCTGGAGGGTCCCTGAAAAGAGTTAAGTGAGAGGGATGTGGGATTTTAAACAGTTGTACAGTGAATGTGAAACTCAGACTTGACCCTTGAATAACTGAAGGACACATGGAACCATCTGAAGATCCATATCTTTGCTGACCCTCCCATGTTCTATTATCACAACACCTCTCATTAGTTTCTGTATCTTGACTCTCAGTTCTGCAACTGTATCTGTGGGCTAATACACACGTCCTTCCCTGTGCTCACCACAGGGACACATAGAGACATCTGAAGACCTGTCTCTCTCCTCACCCTACCAAGTTACCTTTTCAGAACACCCCTCAGTCCTTTCTGTACTTTGACCCCCACAATCTGCATACTGTATATGTAGGCTCAGGAACCTGTCCTTCACTGTACTTGTCACACATTAGGGTCTCCTGGGGAAAACTGTTTCAAGTTCAATGTCATTCAATAGGGAGCCTGGGGCTTCCTCACCTGAGACTAGCAGCTCCAGGATGTCACTCCCTTCTGACCACACTTGAGGCTTGCTTGTGTGATAACCATAGCATCTGAAACTCCATCTTTCACTGAGTGTGATGGGACTGACTTGGAATCTGGCTGAAGACTGACCAGTATATGCATATTGTGATGAGTCCATGGAGCTGTAGAACTGCTTGTCCTTAATTAAAATGAACCTGTCATATTTCTGATTTGAGGTACATGAGAGGGTCACAGATCTTCCAAAGGTTACAACAGGGTTTGGCAGGGCATACAGGGTGGGTTTGTAGTAGACACCTAGGAGAGATACATATGGAATATTAAATGAGTTCACACAGTCTGGATTGTCCCCAGACCTGAGTAATGAGTGGGGATATATTCAGAGCAAACTTTTCTAAAGAGTCACATTTGGGGATTCATATGATTCCTGAGTAATGCCTCACCTGTCACCACCAGCTCCAGGGCGTCACTCTTCTCAGTCCACCCAGCAGAGTTATAACAGTAACAGTGATAT